TTCTTTCCACGCTATTGGGCGCCGGTGGGCTTGCCAGTGAGGACCATTGTTCCTCTACCGTGGTCATGAAGACCTCCGGACATGGAATGTACTTATCCTGTGAGACCTTCTTGGCAAATAGAGGATTGGCCTCCTTGCTTGTAGAGGGCATCTCCTCCTGTACTGAAGTTAGGCTGACTGTGGAGACTGCCTTTATCAGGAGTGATTTTAGGAACGCAGGGTTAAAAAGGCCAGAGCTCGTCGCCTGCTCAGGTGCGGTCTCCTCATCCTCCGAAAGGGGCATGTCTGACATATCAAGGTCTAATGAGTCACCCTCTCCTATTTGAGAGGAGGTCTCAGAAATGTTGGTAGGGGGCGGCCTGGGTCATCCCTTATGGGGTGTGTGAAAGGCTACTTGTCCCCTAGAAGCCATGAACTGGGAAAAGGCATCCTGCATGAATGCCTGGAATCGTGCCGACCATATGTTCTCCTGCGCTTTGTCGCTGGAATGACACGTTGGAGTGTGGTCGGGTGAAGAAGTTGGTGAGGAGGGGGTGGAGGAATCTAACTGTTCAGTTTCCCCAGGAGGAGACCAAGTTTTGAGAACTTCCTGGGCAGTAGGTTCTGTGGGTGTCACCACTGGGACAGGGGAAACCATGCTTGTCCCAGTGGAATTGGTTCTCTGTGCCCTGCTAATTTGTCTTTCTAAAGCCAAATGTCTCCTCAAAGCCTCTCGCTCAGCCATTTTAGATTGTCCCTTCTGAGTAAGATGCTTTGTTTTAGCCTTCTTCTTCCCCCCCACCTCTGGTTCAGAGGATCTGCGTTTTTGCTGCTGTTGTGGGGGGGACAATTGAGGGACCTCTGTGACTGAATACGAGACATTGTCTGCCATTGTGCCAGACACCCCGAGTAGGTAATGCCTGGAGTGGGGGAATAAGATACGCAGATCAGATGCAGATGCTTGGGGCTGAGCCCTCCTCTGCCTATACCAACAATGGCCGGACAGACAGGATTCTTTGGACAGGAGATCCTGCAAGGCAGTGACTAAAGGTCACTATATGAACAGTTAGAGAAAATTATTCCTCCTCACCTCCTCACCTAATTCCAGGACTCTTCAGCCCTGGTCCAACACAATGCAACTGGTGACTTTAACTCCCCCAATCTGTGACTGTAAAAACAGATCACGTTCGAATTGATTGCAGTTTGCCTATTTTCCCCCTCTTCCCTCTTTGTAATGCAAGTAGGCTCCTCCGGATGGCGAAAAGCCCCACCCACAATGGAACGGCGGGTTAATCCGCTCGTTCAAAATGGCGAATTGGAGGAGGCCACTCCCCCCAACCACAGCCTATGGAGACCACGAGGCTCACAATGGCGGTTCTAGCTGCCGGCTCTGAAATTTTCCTTGTCCTCCCTGCGCGCCGGCAAAGGAGAAGGGGGGGGGGCAAGCCAGGCGGCGAAAGCCGGCTAAAGCGGCCCTTTCGGGCTTTAAGTGCAAGGGGGGGGAACCCTCCCCTGAGGTGATCCCCGCGCCGATCGGCTGATAAACGTGCTGGGGGTCGGTAAACGACCCGGTGAGCCCCCCGAACCCTTTGGCTGGTCTCCCTAGGGGATACTCTCACCGCTCCGACGATCCTCGTTGGGTGGAGATCCGGTCTGAGCCAGCTGCTAAAGGTCTTGTTATTGCTAATTTCGTCTGGAAATTTAGTCTGGGAAGAGGGAGATTTTGTCTTAAGCTATGGATTTTTGAAGAGCTGAATCTCGCACTGCTATCGGGCTTCGAGACTGAGTCAAAACTGGGGTCACGCCCAAAGGAAGGGGTGTGGCCAAAGTTTTTACCCAGTCTGCCGGGCAGGAAGGCTGTCATAGAACCCATCCATTGGACTCTACAGCCATCCTGCTGGAGAATTCGAGAATCACAGCAAATAAAAGGAATAGAAGTTAACAAAAAAGAATACAAACTAAGAGCTTTTGCAGATGACTTGGTGGTTACCCTGTCCCAACCTACTCACTCCGTAATAGAGTTATTACAATTGATATATCAATATGGATGGGTTTCGGGTTTTAAAATTAATAACAATAAGACTAAAATATTACCCAAAAATATGACTAATATGGATAAGCAGATTTTGGTTAATCTGACAGATTTTGAGGTTGTTGATAAGGTAAAATATCTGGGGGTTACTTTATCTGTCTCTAATGTAAAATTGTATAAAAATAATTATGAAAGGTTGTGGGTCAGGATACAAAGAGACTTGAAAAATTGGGAGAAGTTGCAATTATCTCTTTTGGGAAGAATTGCGGCGATTAAAATGAATGTCCTGCCTAAATTCCTTTTCTTATTTCAAATGATACCTATCTTAAAGAATGAGGTCAATTTAAATGAATGGCGGAAAGGTATCAATAAATTTATCTGGGCGGGGAAAAAAACAAGAGTAAAGCTTAAAATTATACAAGATATTCGTGAGAGAGGTGGACTCAAGGTACCGAATTTGAAATTGTATTATGATGCTGTGGCCTTAACATTAATTAGTGATTGGGTTAATTTAACAAATGTAGAAATACTCCTCTTGGAGGGTTGGGATTTACTTTTTGGATGGCATGCCTATTTAATTTTTAATAAAAAAGTTGACCGGGTTTTTAAATCCCATATTATAAGGATTTCTCTACTTCGGGTTTGGAGGAAATATTACAGAAGTGATTCTAAAATACCATTATGGGCTATACCTTGGCATGCGATAGAGGGGATAAGGAGAGGAGTTAAGATGGATAGTGTTTCTTATGCACAATTGCTTAGATGGGATGGTAAAATTTGGCAGTTAAAATCTTTGGAAGATTTAGCACAAGAAAATTTTATATATTCATGGTTTTAGTATAGACAAATAGCGGACAGATGGAAGATAGATCGTAATGTGGGCTTGCTTAGAGAAGATGAAAATTTTGTTAAACAAGTAAAAGATCAAAGACGAACTCATATTAAGAGAATTTATGGGTTGCTAGTAGAATTGGACTCAGAACCAGAATTAATTAAAGAATGTATGATTAAATGGGCACAAAATTTTGGTGAACCAGTTCTACTAGATACCTGGGAAATTATCTGGGTGAGAAATGTTAAATTTACACAAGCCCAGAACTTAAGGGAGAATTTTTATAAAATGTTTTATAGATGGCACCTTGATCCACAAAAAATGTCTCGTATGTATCCCGACTTACAGCCCAAATGTTGGAGATGTGGTTGTTTGGATGCTACTTATTACCATATTTGGTGGTCGTGTAAAAATATAAAAGCCTTTTGGATTAAGATATGGTGGAATATTCAAAGAATTTTTAGAAGGAGGGTAAAATTTACCCCACAATTGTTTTTGTTAGGTATTGTTACCGATTGTGATATTAAGGAGGTTATATTGATGTTAAATTTAATTACAGCCGCAAGGTTGTTAGTAGGGCAATACTGGAAGAAGGAATCTTTGCCTACTTTGCAAGAGTGGTTTTTTAAAGTATCCTATCTGGCGGAAATGGCAAAGATTTCGGCTTTTTTAAAGGATCAATCGCAAGAGAAGTTTTTTGTGGTATGGGAAAAATGGATAGATTTTATACAACATAAGTTGGATATAAAAATATTACTTAGTTTATCAATAATTTATATACAAATTTTAATATTTTATAGATTGTATCATTTCTTTTTCTTTTTATATGTTTTATTATTATTTTACTTTCTTATATTTCTTTTCTTCTTTCTTTCTCTTTATTCTTCCTTTTTTAAAGTATTTTCTTTTTTTTTCTTTAATATTTATGTCTTTTTATATATATATATATTATTGTTAATTATTCTATTAGTAGTTTAAGTAACGTATTTAGACTTATCTATGGTTTATATATTTTTTTTAAGAATTCAAAAAAATTTAATTAAGCCTATATTCAGCTCTGAGAAAGTTGAGGGAGGGAGTGGGAGGGTTGGGGTGGGTTGGGGAGAATTGTTTTTTCTTATTTTGTAAAATTTTAAAAATTTTCAATAAAAAAAATAATAATACCAGGATTTAGAGGAAATTAGTTAGATACAAGCTGAATTATCTGTGTGTATTGACAACAGTCTGGTTGCTTAGAACAAAAGGACTAAGATTGTTTACTGATCTCTAAATATAAAGTTGCTGCTTATTGGAATGTGATGTATGTGTCCAGCTTTATTTCTCAGGCAAAAATAATATCTTTTAGTATAAACTGTATCAAGCTATAACACTGAGAAATTTCTGACTTAAATTTGTTAATAAACTGTGAGAAAGTAATTAGCTATAGGTCTATACTCTTGTTAAAAGTACATCCCATTAACATTAACATGCACCATCTTTATGTTAATAAAAGTTAACTAAAACACTAATTGAAATATTAACACAATTTAATATGAAAATTATTTTTAATAGGGCATTGCACAACATTCTCTTTCAAAAATTCACCTTGGCAGAGATTATAGCTTAATGACATGACATTTTATTAGGACATTTATTTTCTGTACAAAAACATTCTCATTCAGTTTGTAGAATTTCCAGGACTAAGAAAATTTGTTTCTAAAGCAACTGAAAAAGCGCTGCTAGTCAGAGAAGACAGTACCTAGCTATACAGTCTAACTGGTATAAGGAGGCTGTGATTTCTGGATTTTTATCTTAGCTAATAAGATTTACTATACAAATTGCTAACGTAATAAGGATGTAAGACAGAACTGGCGGTAGATCTCAACTACTGAAGAACCCAGCTGACAGGAATTAAAAAGAGGAAAGTCTTCATGTCATCTGTTGTAACTTCTGATATGGGTAATAAAGATTTATTTTTTGTGCCATATGCACCCCAATTCTGTCAGGTAAAAGGAAGGCAGGTCACACGTCTGTTTTTTTAGAGCATATGTAAATGCATGGTACACAAATGGAAATTTTCCTTGAAATGGAAAGACATCAGCAGAGCTTCTGCGCTGCTTTGTAAATGGATAAAAGGGACAGAGCAGATCATGTATCACACATTACAAATACACCAACCTCTATCGCAATGCTCTCCGCTGTAGCTTGGATCACATTCGCAGTAGGGTTCCCCTTGTGCAGAAATCTTACACTGTCCGTGGTTACATTTTAGAAGTCTGCAGGAGTTGGAGGAATCATTCTTTCGATTGCAGTGCGTACCTGTGTAACCTTCTATACACTTGCACGTATAAGCAGAGTTGGTGGCAATGCACTTCCCATGGAGGCATCTTAGAGAAAAAAGACACAAAAATATCTGTTGGATTTCAGATTGATCCCTCTCACATTCCTTTTATCTGTAAGGAAAGTTACACTGAATGAAACTTACTTGTTACCAAGGCAGGGATCGTTAAGTTCTTGGTCACACAGTGAACCTGTCCAGCCTGGATGGCACTCACAGACCACACTCGTCTTTTCAAGAGAGCGGCAAATTCCGTGCTTACAGATGTTACAGGATTTGCAACCAGGAAGGACTCCTACTGACTGATGTGGTAGTTCTTTGAAGTCCTGGAGCTCATTATTAATCCGGACATCATGAATGCATCCGTGAAAGCCACTTGGTGTCCTCTCTGTACCTTGCCGCAATGAAGATAGCCCTGTAGATGTCGGAATTCCTGCAAAGAAAGTTACAAAATGCTTTGTGCGTTATTTGAGCAGCTCTGTGATATTTCACTTGAACGTAAGGACATAGTGAAAAGATTAGATAAACAAATTGCAGCAGTCTATCAATGAACAATATATCTTGAGTTGACATTTGTCTTTTATATGCCATCATTTACTACACTTTAGTTTTGCACATAGCACTTCAAAAATATATGCAGGAAAAAAAAGCAATCATTTGCACAGATTTTAAAATTCATACAAATATATACATTTAAAATAATAACAATAGCAATGTATTATTTTGCTGTGGGATAGCATTGCGTTTCGGGCAAAAAGGTTGGAATCTTCTGCCATTATTTCACATTTCAACTAATTATCTTTCATTGTGCACTGGTGGAGGTCTTAAGATTATTATTTAGCCTGATCCTCAGCTGAAATTCTGCAAAAATCAGAACCCACCTCCAATGTAGAGTGGAGTGTCTTGACCAACCACGGGTTGCTTCTGCAGTTTGCCAAGGCTTTTGGGAGTGCCTTTATCTACGACCAAATTCAAGGTCTGGTTCAACACCACCAGTTCCACACTATGAAACTGTCCGTCATTTACTGTCTCCACACTTTCAGAAAAAAACAAACAAACAAGAGAAGGGTATTAGAAGCTATGGTAAACAGCTTTTGCAATTATCTGATCTCAATATAATTGCCATAAGAAAAACAGAAATGTAAGAGAGTTCAGTTAGAATAAAAAAAATTAGAAAAAGGTAGCAAATAAGAGTAAAACTTCCTTCCCTGTGCCAAACTCAGTCCAATTTTAACACCAAAATATAAATTAACAAACAGTTGACTGCATGCCACTATACCTCTAGTTATAAATGCTCATTGAAAACTTCTTTTTCACATTCTGTTTTAGAGCCATAAGGACTAGAAAACTATTTTTTACCTGACCTAGCCTTACATGATCTTCAATTCATTGCCCTTCTTGTATTTTGTGATACCACTCTCAGAAACCTCAGCCAGACTTGGAACTGGGGATAGAAATTAAGGGCTTTCTTGAGAAACTTGAGTTTCTTTCTTCTTTCTTTTTGTCCCCTCATTTTCGTTAACTTCTGCCTGAAGAAGAGTTCTGGAGAATGTGAAAGTTTGCATCCATTTTATATTAATTTTTATTGGTCCTAAAGAGGTAGCATCTAGCTAATAGTGTATGGATGTAAGAGCTATGGTTAGAATGCAGTATTGCAGGCTAATTCTGTTCACTGCCAGGAATTTAATCCTGACTGGCTCAAGGTTGATTCGGCCTTCCATCCTTCTGAGGTGGTAAAATGAGGGTCCAGATTGTTGGGGACAATATGCTAACTCTCTAAACCGGTTAGAGAGTGCTGTAAAACACCATGAAGCGGTATATAAGTCTATAAGTGCTATTGCGATTGCTATGGATGTTATACATTATATCCCCCTATTACCAATTTAACTACCATTGCCTTAAGGCTTAGTTTAGAATCTTGTTTGTCTCCCAATGCCCCTTTGGAATTGAAATATAATTTTTGAGCAGGAATAAGGATAGGGATTGAGAATATTTTAGTGGGATTGTAGCAATGCATATAAAAATAAATTGAAGAATTTGCTACATTGCACAGAATTTGGCTGCTCTCTGCAATGCGAAGGCTGAAACAGTGGTAGGATTCAGCCAGTTCGCATCAGTTCGGCAGAACCGGTAGCTAATTTTTTGTTGCCCAGGCCCAGGATGGACTTCTGGAAGCAGCATCCAGACAAAGAACTGGTTGTTCACATATTTGAATCCCACCACTGGCTGAAACAATTCACCTTCCTTTAAATAACAACATTCTGCTGTATTGTTTGATAAGCAGAAGGACACTGGCTGTCAAATATCCTGGTTGTACGTACACACACAAAACCATTTCCAGAGCATTTGAGACTTCTGTATGAACCACTGCTTCTCTGATTTTAACACCGCTATTTAAAGCTAAAATGGACATTGGACTTTCTTGAAGAAAACAAAATGAGTGACCTTTGAAGCATGAGTAAAAATCAGCTCTGAAACCAAAACAATCTCCTGGAACTTCTCCCCTTATTTAAAGAAGTTCCAGCTATATGCATTTGTCAGACGATAACACTGGCATTTTGCAGTGCTGTTTTTTTTAAAAAAAAAAAATCAGGCAAAAGCAAATAGACATAAATCATTAGTTCTCTACCTAATATGGCCTTTTTAGATCAATGTTTAAATGTTCTATTTTAGCAGAAGATTTGTATATTTTGACAAAATAAATAAACAAGCAGAACTAAATCACCCATAAAGCTAATCCTTGAGTTATGACTACAGTTGAACTCAGAATTTCTGTTGCTAAGCAAGACAGTTGTTCAGTGAATTTTGCCCCATTTTATGACATTTCTTGCCATAGTTGTTAAATCACTGGAATTGTTAAGCTAGTAACATAGTTGACTTTGCTTGTCAGAAGATCACAAAAGGTGATCACATTTCCCCAGGACACTGTAATAGGGGAGACATGATAGCTGTATTCCAGTATTTGAGGGGCTGCCACAAAGAAGAGGGGGTCACGTTGTTTACCAAAGCACCAGAGGATAGGATGATAAACAATGGTTGGAAACTAATCAAAGAGAGAAGCAATTAAGGAAAAACTTCCTGGCAGAAAGGGCAATTAATGAGTGAAACAGCTTGCCTCCAAAAATCGTGGGCGCTCTATCACTGGAGATTTTTAAGAAGAGGCTAGACAGTCATTTGTCTGAGATGGTATAGGTCCTCCTGCTTGAGCAGGGGGCTGGACTCGAAGACCTTGAAGGTCCATTCTATTCTATTCTATTCTATTCTATTCTATTCTATTCTATTCTATTCTATTCTATTCTATTCTATTCATTCTAAATATAAGTCAGTTACCAAATGCCTGAATTTTTATCACATGACCATGGGAATGCTGCAATGGTCGTTAAATGTGAAAAATGGTCATAAGTCACTTTTTTCAGTGCTGTTGTAACTTCGAACAGTCATTATATGAACTGTTGTAAGTAGAGGACTACCAATATTCTTAAAATCTTTGAGAAAGTCTAGGCCTTTGTTAACATCAAAATGAACAACTATTAGATTTTGTTTTCAGAAAAAAAAATCAATCTTATTTCTTTAACTTTTAGCAATGTAAAGTCTGTTTACCTTCCTTCCCACTTAACTCAATGCCTTCCATCTTTAATTAGTATGTAACATGGAAGACAGAACCAGGCTTTGACTGCTCAGTTTATTGAGTTTATTAAATTCTGAAGATGAAACAAAGAACTTTCTAAAAAGGCCCTAGCTCAACTTCCTGTCTCAGTGATAAAGGGAAGATCAAGATTTATTGCATCAAGTGAGGAAAGGTGCTGACTTTAAGGACAACCCTTTTCAATGATTTCTGTCCAGACAGAAACTGTCCAGAAAGGAGGAACTGTTTTGAAGGGAATTTAAATTTTAAGGGCATTCCAAGAGCATGCTTCAGCTGCGGGTCAATATTTCAGGAAGTTAAACATTGATTCAGATTTGTATCAGAAGGTTAAACACATGTTTATATCTCTGTGATTTCAACACACATAACTGGAACATTGGCTGGCTTGTGCATCAGTGTTTTCAAGGTGTATTGCTTTAAGAGAAGTCAGGTAATCTGCATTTTGTTCAATCAGTAACTGCTGTCTCTTCAAAAAGCAACCCTGGATTCAGGAATAGGATTTCGTTTCAAGGAGATAAATGCTTATGCATTTTGTTCTAGATGGTCTGGTTTGATGCTGTTGCAGGGGGGTCTACAACGATCAGAGACTGTTAGAGACAGTGGCTTGGCGAGAGATTAATGGAAGAAAACCACAGACACTGAACAGCGCACCACAGTTGAGCCAGCAATGCACAAAGACTGTGATTTTGGTAGAGAAAACAGCTATATCCTACAACAAGAAGATTGTGTTAAAATTACAGCTGACTCAAGTGTCCTCGCATTGATCCTTCAAAAACAATGCCACAGATGAAAACAATCAACCAGATAAGCACATTACTTGAAACATAGGACAATAATTTCTTAGCATTCCTACACCGGTGGCAATATTATTACAGATAAAAGTTTCAGTAGCAGTTACAGATTGTTATAACTTCACAAATGAGATAAATATATGAGCTTGGGAAGTACAACTAAAGAAAGGTGCAGTCTGATGCTTTATTTCTAGATGGCAGTAGAGCATCACAAGAATTTAATTTTTAGACTGAAAAAGCAAAATTGTACTGCTTGCCTATTACCCAAATCAGAACGTAAACAAATAACAGAGGAATATAAGTTAGATCAGGATAAACTACCACCTAAATTAAAGCTTTCTAAGAAGGGAAAAGAATGAGGCTGATCCCTACAATTGGCAAAGTGACATCTGAATAATTGTAAATGATCTAGGATTGCCAAACACATCTAACGCTCCTTCAAAAGTTATTTTGGTAAGAAATAGCAATATGGGGATGTGCGTGTGAGAGAAAAAGAAAAATTAAAATGGGAATTGGATTGGTTCCAATTTTTGTGTTTGGATTCAAAAAGCCAACGCTTGTCTTAACAATTGTTTGCCAACCAATTAGAAACAGTTCTCTAGTTTTCACTTTGGGCTAAATTCCAATAAACCTATTAAAATGCTGTATACTAAGTAGAATCTGCCTTGTTTAGAATCATTCCTCTGGAATTCACAATATATACTTTTTCAAACTTATTGAAATATAAACACTTTTCAAGATAGCCAGCTGTATTTCATTTGATACAAGAAAATAAAATAGCCATATTCCATCTATATTCAAAGGGGGGGGGAAAACGCTCTTAAAAAACAAATGACAATTTATGGGAAATGGCTGTCAGCAAAACTTATCAAAGATAGGGTGAGAGAATACAATACAGTTCCTATACTAAGCCACTTTGATAACCTTCATCCAGTTCTCAGAAAGAAATCAAATTAAATGGTAAATGATAATTACGATTCATGACAATGGTATTGAGAGAACAGCACTGACTATTCAGGAGGATAATAGAACAATAATATTACTTATCATTGTATTATCATTATGGATTTATTCACTCATTTGCTTATTCAAAATTATTCTTACTTTTGTGGGTTTATTCTCCTAATAACTTCATAATAATATATTCTCATAATAATATATTAAAATGCATTCTAAAAGAGACATTGTAAAAAAGATAGTACTTCTGATACAAGAGCAAAAAATGGAAATACTTTGTCATATAACTTTGGTCATATTTCCTTTCATCCACAACAAACCTTTATTATGACCTTTAGGTCTGAAAACATTACATAGAAGTACATACAAATAAAATTATTAGTAGGATTAAAAAGTGGGTATAAAATGCAATAAAATTACAAACAATAAAATCAGCATAATAGAAATAATACGATGCAAATAATATAAGCGACAATCCCTAAGATTGGTGCTAATCTTCAGTCATATTTGGAGGACAAATAGAATAAATAATTGTGAAAAATTGGGCAACCTGAAAAGATACATCAGAGTCCTGTTTGGTTAGAAGAAGTGATAGATAAGCATTGTGCTCTCTACCAAGGTATTTTTTTTAAAATGGGATAA